TTAAAATAACTGGAAAACACAACAACTACTGATTATTCATTAGTAATGACGCTATTCATAATCAGATTACACATTCTGCGGTTTATGTAGTGTGTTCTCGGAAGGCGCTGTGACAAATGATCAGTTTAATTGATAGCATATCTGTCAGTTTTTTCCCCTCGTATTATTGTTTATATTTTCCATTTATTCTGTTTTATGAGTTAACTGTCTTGCATGTTTTCAGCACACGTGATTCAGCATCATGCGAGGTTTATTTCTATCCTGCTGCTGGAATGACATGGCAGATATCATAATCTGATTCATATTAACCCTGTGTGATTGATTATTACTTATTGTCATAAATATCTGATCCAACGATTCATATCAACCACACGTGATCAAATAATTCTGCTCTTGAAATAAGTCATGAGCAGATTCATGAAAATATAAATTTGTACTTGTACAGGCTACAATACTCTTTGAATGTGCATTAATGATCTGTCAAGTATTATTTAATGTAATCATTTTTAATGAAAGTTCTGAATATATATATATATAACTGTAAATATCATGTTTTTATTTAAATGAAAATCAAAAATGTTGCCTTGGCAATAAACTTTAATAAGTTTAAGTGCTAAAATTATTAATTAAAAATAAAATAAAATAAAACTGAAATGAAAATGAATTAAGCCTAAATAGAGATATTTAAAACAAAAAACTAATAAAATGAAAAAAGCACAAAACGAAATGACAAAAAAATAAACATAAAAATAACATAAAAACAAAAATATATATAAGAGCTCATACAAAATATTAATAAAACTAAAAATTTAAACTGAAAAACACTGTCCTTCGCATGAGGATGATCATATTTGGGAGTCTGTGGCATCTAAAAGATTGAATATTGATGATCTAAAAGTAATCTGTGTGTGTTTATTGAAGTAATTTGAGCTCAAACTATGACCACAAATATTTCATTTTCCTGTGTTAGATTTTGAGTCACTTCCTCCTGAGTTGAGGAGAGATCTTCCTCTTTTCCCTGTGGGCTGAACGTGCCCTGAATTAAGAAACACTCTTGTGTGTGTGTGTGTGTGTGTGTGTGTAGGAAGAGATGGCTGGACGTGGAGTCGGGTGTTTGTGGAAACGTCATGTTGTGGAGCAGCTGAAACAGAGAGACAGAGTTCAGCGTCAGGCCTTTGAGGAGATCATACACCAGTGTAAGACAGACTCGTTCTTTCTTTCTTTCTAGTTATATATGTATATGTATGTGTCTGTGTATATATTAATTTTATATCAAACAATCCATAAGCCAGTCAAATGCACATGGATGTCACCTCTATATTATTTTCCTGCTAAATGTTGCACAATGTGTGTTTGTCTCCAGATAACCGGTTGTTGGAGAGGTCAGATCTTCAGGTTGTGTTTTCTGAACGTCTCCAGACCGACAAGTATGAGCATCAGAACCGACACGACCTCAGGTATTTATTATGTCTGTTGTAATCTGTGGTAACATTAAGGAGAAGAAATAATGTGTAGCGAGAAGAGCATTACATGGAGAGGGAACAATGATCAATACAAAAAAGAAACATGATCAGTGGTTGACACAGATATGCGCTTAAGATGCGTTTGGTCGATCGGATCACAAGTAGACGAGAGACACATTCCCGTTCACACCTGGTGTTTTAATCCGTCTCTTTTGTCCACTTTCACCCACTTCTGTCCTGATTTCTCCGAGGAGAGGGTCTATGGCGGGTAAATGTTTGGGTTTCTTAAGATCTTTCGATCTAATGGATGAAATAAGCTCACGCAATTTACATATGAACGCGACCGTAGACGACGGAGAAACACACTGAGAACATCAGCTTTAGTTTCTGCTCTGACAGACGCGAGACCAGCCGAACGCTGTGAGTGTGTGTGTGTGTGTGTGTGTGTTAGAAATCAGGAATGATGAGAGAACATTGTGATTGGTACGTCTTTCCTCTCCAAACCAAACTTGTGTCTCCAGCCGACAGTTTAAACCGCGTCTGACTCGAGCTCTTCCCGTAATGTTCAGGCGTTAGATCAGAAGACGGAGAGACGGCGGTGTTTAGCGGCTGTTTGAACACATGAGCGTTTACACTACGAATGCAATCTGGTCAAATGTGTTTCAACTTCCTGTGGAAAGTGGACAAGCTCAAAACCTTTTAGACCCCGTTTCACAAAGCTATTTTAGACACCGGTCTATAGTGTTAGACAAGTCTAAAATTTGCTCATAGACTAGTCTAATGTGTGAAGTCTAAAGACTAGTCTAAAAAGTGTGTGAGTGAGTGTGTGAGTGTGTGAGTGAGTGAGTGAGTGAGTGAGTGTGTGAGTGAGTGAGTAAGTGAGTGTGTGAGTGAGTGAGTGAGTGAGTGAGTGTGTGAGTGTGTGAGTGAGTGAGTGAGTGAGTGTGTGAGTGAGTGAGTGAGTGAGTGTGTGAGTGTGTGAGTGTGTGAGTGTGTGAGTGTGTGAGTGTGTGAGTGAGTGAGTGAGTGAGTGAGTGAGTGAGTGAGTGAGTGAGTGAGTGAGTGAGTGAGTGAGCGAGTGAGCGAGTGAGCGAGTGAGCGAGTGAGCGAGTGTGCGAGTGAGCGAGTGTGCGAGTGTGCGTGAGTGTGCGTGAGTGTGCGTGAGTGTGAGTGTGCGTGTGAGTGAGTGTGTGAGTGAGTGTGTGAGTGAGTGTGTGAGTGAGTGTGTGAGTGAGTGTGTGAGTGAGTGTGTGAGTGAGTGTGTGAGTGAGTGTGTGAGTGAGTGTGTGAGTGAGTGTGTGAGTGAGTGTGTGAGTGAGTGTGTGAGTGAGTGTGTGAGTGTGTGAGTGAGTGAGTGAGTGAGTGTGTGAGTGAGTGAGCGAGTGAGCGAGCGAGCGAGTGTGTGAGCGAGTGAGCGAGTGAGCGAGTGTGTGAGCGAGCGAGCGAGTGAGCGTGTGAGTGAGTGAGTGAGTGAGTGAGTGAGTGAGTGAGTGAGTGAGTGAGTGAGCGAGTGAGCGAGTGAGCGAGTGAGCGAGTGAGTGAGTGAGTGAGCGAGTGAGCGAGTGAGCGAGTGAGCGAGTGAGCGAGTGAGCGAGTGAGCGAGTGAGCGAGTGAGCGAGTGAGCGAGTGAGCGAGTGAGCGAGTGAGCGAGTGTGTGAGTGAGCGAGCGAGCGAGCGAGTGTGCGAGTGAGTGAGTGAGTGAGTGAGTGAGTGTGTGAGTGCGTGAGTGTGTGAGCGAGTGTGTGAGCGAGTGAGTGAGTGTGTGAGTGAGTGAGTGAGTGAGTGTGTGAGTGTGTGTGTGTGAGTGAGTGAGCGAGTGAGTGAGTGAGTGAGCGAGTGAGCGAGTGAGCGAGTGAGCGAGTGAGCGAGTGTGTGAGTGAGCGAGCGAGCGAGCGAGCGAGTGTGTGAGTGAGTGAGTGAGTGAGTGAGTGAGCGAGTGAGTGTGTGAGCGAGTGTGTGAGCGAGTGAGTGAGTGTGTGAGTGAGTGAGTGTGTGAGTGTGTGTGTGTGAGTGTGTGAGTGAGTGAGCGAGTGAGTGAGCGAGTGAGTGAGCGAGTGAGTGAGAGAGCGAGCGAGTGAGCGAGTGAGTGAGCGAGTGAGTGAGCGAGTGAGTGAGCGAGTGAGTGAGCGAGTGAGTGAGCGTGTGAGTGAGCGAGTGTGTGAGCGAGTGTGTGAGCGTGTGAGTGTGCGAGCGTGCGAGTGTGTGAGTGAGTGAGTGCGTGAGTGAGTGAGTGCGTGAGTGAGTGCGTGAGTGAGTGCGTGAGTGAGTGAGTGAGTGAGTTAGTGAGTGAGTGAGTGAGTGAGTGAGTGAGTGAGTGAGTGAGTGAGTGAGCGTGTGAGCGAGTGTGTGAGTGTGCGAGTGTGCGAGTGAGTGAGTGTGTGAGTGAGTGAGCGAGTGTGTGAGCGTGTGAGTGTGCGAGTGTGCGAGTGTGCGAGCGTGTGAGTGAGTGAGTGAGTGAGTGAGTGAGTGAGTGAGTGAGTGAGTGAGTGAGTGAGTGAGTGAGTGAGTGTGTGAGTGTGCGAGTGTGCGAGTGAGTGAGTGTGTGAGCGAGTGTGTGAGCGAGTGTGTGAGCGAGTGTGTGAGCGTGCGAGTGTGTGAGTGAGCGAGTGAGTGAGTGAGTGAGTGAGTGCGTGAGTGAGTGCGTGAGTGAGTGAGTGAGTTAGTGAGTGAGTGAGTGAGTTAGTGAGTGAGTGAGTGAGTGTGTGAGCGAGTGTGTGAGTGTGCGAGTGTGTGAGTGAGTGAGTGTGTGAGCGAGTGTGTGAGCGAGTGTGTGAGCGAGTGTGTGAGCGAGTGTGTGTGAGCGTGTGAGTGTGCGAGTGTGCGAGTGTGTGAGTGAGTGAGTGAGTGAGTGAGTGAGTGAGTGAGTGCGTGAGTGCGTGAGTGAGTGAGTGAGTGAGTGAGTGAGTGAGTGAGTGAGTGAGTGAGTGAGTGAGTGAGCGTGTGAGTGAGAGTGAGTGAGTGAGTGAGTGAGTGAGTGAGTGAGTGAGTGAGTGAGTGCGTGAGTGAGTGAGTGAGTGAGTGAGTGTGTGAGTGAGTGAGTGAGTGAGTGAGTGAGTGAGCGTGTGAGTGAGTGAGTGTGTGAGCGAGCGTGTGAGTGTGCGAGTGTGTGAGTGAGTGAGTGAGTGTGTGAGTGAGTGAGTGAGTGCGTGAGTGAGTGCGTGAGTGAGTGCGTGAGTGAGTGAGTGCGTGAGTGAGTGAGTGAGTGAGTGAGTGAGTGAGTGAGTGAGTGAGTGAGTGAGTGAGTGAGTGAGTGAGTGAGTGAGTGAGTGAGTGAGTGAGTGAGTGAGTGAGTGAGTGAGTGAGTGAGTGAGTGAGTGAGTGAGTGAGTGAGTGAGTGAGTGAGTGAGTGAATTTGAATCTAGTGTTTTGCATTTTTCTGTGATGGACTTTAGGCCATAGAAAATATCAGTAACCTGATATAAAGTCAATGAAAGTCTATGCAATATCCTCAATAACATAGTGAAACAAACTTGTGTGTGTGTGTGTGTGTGTGTGTGTAGTCCTGGCGTTGACGGTGGCCGCAGTGACTCCCTGCAGCAGGAAATGGCTCAGATGAGAATCAAACATCAGGAGGAGCTGACGGAGCTGCACAAGAAGCGAGGAGAGGTGAATGACACAGACACACACACACACACACACACACACACACACCTCCCTGTGAAGGCCTCCTTTACCTCTGTACAGATAATCGTTGTCGGGATAACTCCGGTTCACGTGGTTAAGCCGAAGCGATACAATTCTGTATTATAAATTTTAAGGCCAGACAAGTAGTTTGTTGAGGGTTGGTTGTTTAGAGAAGGACTACACGCCTGCGCACATATATTCAAACGCGCATACCTATAGAATATACTCTTAATGCGCATGTGCACGCCATCAGCGTTCTCACAGGTTCGCGTTTTTAAAGTTTGCGTAGAGAGAACTTAAGAGTTTTCTGTTAAAACGGTGTCGTGTTAGCGGCCACTAAGTTAATAACTAATGATCGACGGAAGTGAATCAATCAAAACTAACTTTAGCTGTATAATAACTTTATTCTAGAGCTGTCATAAAGCCAAAACAATCTGTTACTGTAATCTCCTATTATCACTGTAAAGCCGCTTTGGAAAAATCTACATTTTTAAAGGGTTAGTTCACCCAAAAATGAAAATTATGTCATTAATGACTCTCCCTCATGTCGTCCCAAGCCCGTCAGACCTCCGTTCATCTCCGGGACACAGTTTAAGATATTTTAGATTTAGTCCGAGAGCTTTCTGTCCCTCCATTGTAAATGTGTGTACGGTATACTGTCCTTGTCCAGAAAGGAAATAAAGACATCATCAAAGTAGTCCATGTGACATCAGTGGGTTAGTTAGAGTGTGTTGAAGCATCGAAAATACATTTGGGTCCAAAAATAACAAAAACTAGGACTGATAAAAGCGATATATAAATGAAGATGACTTGACTTGACTTGACAATGATGGGATGTTTTCTGCTGTTACGACAGCACTTACACCGACATTTACATGCCAACGACCACATTTACATATTCAGCAGCTCGACTCTTCCAACTCGTTAGACTAGCTTTACAATCCTTGTCTTGAGAATCATAAGTACATGATTTTGTTGTAGCATCTCTATAGATTTCAGCTATAAGTTTATGTCATCAAATCAGTTAAAAACTCAGATTCAGTGATTTGAATGGGCATTATTCATACATGTAATTGTTTTAGTAAATGTTGGGTGTATAAATGAAAATGCTTTAAGTCATTTGTATTTTTGTGTTTATTTTATTTCAGAAAGCATGGCAATAAAAATATATTTTTGTGTTTTTTTGCAGTTGGCTCAGACCGTGATTGAACTAAACAACCAGATTCAGCAGAAAGACAAAGAGATCCAGAGTAATGAAGCCAAGTGAGTGTATCATGTGCACACTTTGTGTATCAGCAGGATAATGTTTTATATCTCAATCAAGTCAAATTTATTTTCATAATACACTTTGTTTTTAAAGTAGCCTTACAGAAAATCATAATGTTATTATTGATTTCTCTTATAATTAGTGCTGGGCAACGATGAATCCCATCCAAAATAAAAGTTTGTGTTTACATAATATATGTGTGTGTGTGCTGTGTATAATTATTTTGTATATACAAACACACACAGATCACATGCATTAAGAAAAATGTGTTATTTATATATAAAATATTTATATATAATCTAAATTATATGTATATACATGCAAATATTTCTCAAATATATACATGCATGTGTGTTTATTTATATATACAAAATAATTATACACAGCACACACACACACACACATATATTATGTAAACAAAAACTTTTATTTTGGATGAAATTAATCGTTACCCAGCACTAATTATAATGTAACAAGATAAAGAAAAAGTGGTTACACTTTATTTTAAAGTGTCATTGTTACAGTGTAATTATATATTTAAGTACTGAGTAATATTAATTAACTACATGTACTTACTATAGGGTTAGGGTAGGATTAGGGTTAGTTGCATGTAATTATGCATAATTTACTGTTATTACTATGGTAAGTACATGTAACATGTGTAACAAAGACACTGTGAAATAAAGTGTTACCGAAAAAGTAACGTTTTACAAGACGAGTTATGGATTCACGTGTCAAATCCTTTGTGAAAATGGCCATTACAATCATATTTTGAGATTATATAAACAATCTCACAGCTGAGATTTGCTATACACTCACCTAAAGGATTATTAGGAACACCATACTAATACTGTGTTTGACCCCCTTTCGCCTTCAGAACTGCCTTAATTCTACGTGGCATTGATTCAACAAGGTGCTGAAAGCATTCTTTAGAAATGTTGGCCCATATTGATAGGATAGCATCCTGCAGTTGATGGAGATTTGTGGGATGCACATCTAGGGTACGAAGCTCCCGTTCCACCAGATCCCAAAGATGCTCTATTGGGTTGAGATCTGATGACTGTGGGCCATTTTAGTACAGTGAACTCATTGTCATGTTCAAGAAACCAATTTGAAATGATTCGAGCTTTGTGACATGGTGCATTATCCTGCTGGACGTAGCCATCAGAGGATGGGTACATGGTGGCCATAAAGGGATGGACATGGTCAGAAACAATGCTCAGGTAGGCCGTGGCATTTAAACGATGCCCAATTGGCACTAAGGGGCCTAAAGTGTGCCAAGAAAACATCCCCCACACCATTACACCACCACCACCAGCCTGCACAGTGGTAACAAGGCATGATGGATCCATGTTCTCATTCTGTTTACGCCAAATTCTGACTCTACCATCTGAATGTCTCAACCGAAATCGAGACTCATCAGACCAGGCAACATTTTTCCAGTCTTCAACTGTCCAATTTTGGTGAGCTCTTGCAAATTTTAGCCTCTTTTTCCTATTTGTAGTGGAGATGAGTGGTACCCGGTGGGGTCTTCTGCTCTTGTAGCCCATCCGCCTCAAGGTTGTGTGTGTTGTGGCTTCACAAATGCTTTGCTGCATACCTCGGTTGTAACGAGTGGTTATTTCAGTCAAAGTTGCTCTTCTATCAGCTTGAATCAGTCGGCCCATTCTCCTCTGACCTCTAGCATCAACAAGGCATTTTCGCCCACAGGACTGCCGCTCACTGGATGTTTTTCCCTTTTCACACCATTCTTTGTAAACCCTAGAAATGGTTGTGCGTGAAAATCCCAGTAACTGAGCAGATTGTGAAATACTCAGACCGGCCCGTCTGGCACCAACAACCATGCCACGCTCAAAATTGCTTAAATCACCTTTCCTTCCCATTCTGACATTCAGTTTGGAGTTCAGGAGATTGTCTTGGCCAGGACCACACCCCTAAATGCATTGAAGCAACTGCCATGTGATTGGTTGATTACATAATTGCATTAATGAGAAATTGAACAGGTGTTCCTAATAATCCTTTAGGTGAGTGTATATAGTATATATATTTTTTTATAGTATATATTTTTGATACTTTCCGTGTGTTTTTCCAGGATGTTGGATTATCAGCAGCAGATCTCGCGTTTGGAAGGGGAGTGTCGTGACCTCCGAAACTCTCTGGCTGATTTGGAACGAGCCAATCAGACGCTGCGAGACGAGTACGATGCCCTGCAGATCACGTTCAGCGCTCTGGAGGAGAAACTACGGAAAACCACGGAGGACAATCAGGAGCTGGTGACGCGCTGGATGGCGGAGAAAGCCCAGGAGGCCAACAGACTCAACGCTGAGAACGAGAAGGACACCAGGTCAGAAACACTATTAGACTGAAGTTTAAATAGATATGATCTGTCATGTAGTGTGTAATACGGCTGTTGGTGAATGTGAAAGATTTGCAAAGTTTCAAAGATCAGAGTGCAGATAAATGTAGTTTTTGTCTCCTAAAAGTGATTCTGAACTGCTTGAAACGAGTCGTCAGTAATTCAGTCTCACTTCCTTCTGAAAATACGTTGGTTTGTAACTAATTAGCATAATGCCAGCCTGTGGTCTTGATTGGCTGAACAGCATATCTAAGCCCCGCCCTCAAACACTGTAGTGTATCTGAGACTGGGAGAGTTCGGTTCGTGTTGTTCATGTGGAGAAGACGCTGTTTTCTGCTGACAAAGCAAATCCACTTTGATGAGATTGATACGGTAAAACCCACGCCATCGCCACTGTTCGTATCACTGTGTGTCAAGAGCTGAGACTCACATATGATCATGAGCGTTTGCTTTCTGACCAATCACAGCAGACTGGGCCGTCTGACCAATCAGAGCAGAGCAGCTCTCAGAGAGGCGGGGTTTAGAGAGACTGAATCTGCAAACGAAGCGTTTCAGACACTGAGAGAAAAGAGCTGAAGCTGCAGTGGATATTATGAGATAATTAAAGTGTTTTTTGACCTTGGATTCATGTACAACTATTGTAGGAGTGTCCAAAACCAAACTAGGAGCCTTTAAAATAGTATAATTGGGGAAAAACACAGGCATTAATGAGATTTCATTCTTCTGAAATGAAGAAAACACGCTTTGTCCACTGCAAACGCAAATATCATCAGCTCAGTGCACCAAGAGCTTGACATAATTATGTGTGCATTAATATGAGATATATATTTTAACTGTTCTTGGTCACTGTGTATAAAGTGCTGAGAAATAGCTGAGATTCAGATATGATCATGAGCTTTTGGTTTTCCGACCAATCACAACTGACTTGGCCATCTGACCAATCAGAGCAGAGGAGCTCTCAGAGAGGCGGGGTTTAGAGAGACTGAATCTTTGAACGAAGCGTTTCAGACACTGAGAGAAAAGAGCTGATGCTGCAATGGAGAAAACTAAAGTGTTTTTAACTTGGATGCATGTAAAACTATTGTAGGAGAGTCCAAAACCAAATTAGCAGCCTTTAAAATAGTATAATAGCGGCACTTTAACTTTAAAAAGTTGGGAGTATTTTGTGCCTGTAATCAGTGCTCGAAGTGGGGCGGTACTTACCGGTACGCAGTACCGGCACTTCTACATTTTACTCTCAAGCGTATCTGCACTTTTTCTTGCGTACCGCTACTTCTCGCATGTAGCCGGTACTCTACTGACCGAAAAAGCGTGACGGCCGTTTAACCCCTTATTTACGCCGCCTTCACACTGGCAGTTGAAATGTGACACTGCACACATCTGCGGCGCATTACGGCTGCGAAACGGCTACCGGAGCTGATCGCGGCCACCGCAAGCGTGAGCAGCGCGTATTTTTTTCGGCTTGCATGTTAATCAATGAGTGCATTCACACCGCGAGGAGGAGCGTCGCGTGAGCAGCAGTGAAGCGGGGGTTCGGCGCCGATCTATTGTTGTGCTACTCACGACATTTAAAGTGAAAGCAAAGCACACTTTTGATGGAGAAAATAAATACGATTTCACACAAAAAGTGCCCAAAATGCATGTCTGCATGTCTAATGTGTTTTAACAAGAACTGGAGTAGGCTGCCTACGTCAGAAAAGAAAATGAAGACTCAAAAATATTTATACAAGATTTAGCCAAGATTCCGCCGGCGGGCCCATTTGCCATTGCATGTTTAAAACAATAATATCTTAATAAAAACCTAAAGTAATATTGCCAAACTATATATCATTGGAAAGCTTAAAATCTCTAGTTTTCTTATTTGGTGGCTGTTATCTAAAATAAATTACAGAGGAGCAGTAATTTATCAATTTGCAACAAGAATATTTCATATTCATTAGGAGTATTTAGGCCTTTATTTTGAAATAACAATAAACACGAAAAATCATGAAAGATTGGTAGAAACCTCAGTTTGTTTTCATGCCATGAGTTCAAAGATAACACCAATTCCATTTTATGAGAAAAAAAGGTCTGAAAATGTTTTAAATATAAAGAAAAATGTATGGATTCTCGATTTGTAATGCGGCTGCGAGCTATAACGCTATAACGTAGTCTTTATGCATTTATTAGAGGTTTAATTCAAATCAAATACTGCCAAACCACCCATACTACTTCTGAATAGGATGTCTACTTCATAAATTGTATGAAAATTATGGAAATACATGGTTCAGATCACTCAAAACAAATGAAAATGGAGGCGCCCTTATATGGGCAGTAATGGAGTCTGGTGTTCACCTAGTGAAAAAGTTGGGTACTGCGCCCGAATAAAATCTTACTGAAAGCTAATTTTTTTAGATATCAACCTAAAATTTGGAATACAACTTGTTCAGATTTTTGTCTTTAATTTTCTTGCAGTTTTAGAGTAAAATATATTTTGTAATATATATATTTTATATAAAATATTAATAATTATATTTTTACATTACACAATTTCATAAACTCAAACTTATATAACTTTTTTCTGTTTAATTTTTTATCATTTCTAGACTTCTACAATAATCTGGAAAATGTCTTCTTTAAAACAAGACCAGCCATAGGTCTATATTCCAAAGTATTCCTGAATTACAACCATTTAAGTTTGGATAGTGATTTTTATGTCTATGCAAAAAAAAGGGGGGTGACAGTTAACAGGTTAATTATTCAGTTTGGGTAAAAAACTATATGTTTTATTAATAAATAAAACGAGCAAACTAGTCAGAATATAAGCTTTCTTTTAGTTTATGTAATAGCCTACACAGACAGGTAGGCTACATGCCCAAATCAAACCCGAGTTTACTTTTTTTTTTAAATGTTTGCTGTCTTTTAAACATATGACTGAAAAGACAATATCAGAGCTGTTTACTAGGTTGTTTTTGTTGTTTACCATTTACATGCAATTGTTGTATAGTCTACCTCCCATCTTAACAAACCTCAAGAATCAAGTTTATTAATGACCAACTTCTAAAAAGAGAATGTTTCTTTGTAAATAAATGCGCGCACACACGCACATTTGTGTTGTTAATAAATAAACATAAATTGTTGTTGTACCAGCAATATTTCCAAGTTTTGTTTTTCACTGTAGAAATTTAAAATGTCATGATTTGCCAATGCAAGAGAGTACCGGCACCTTTTTTCCCCCACTTCAAGCACTGCCTGTAATAAAACACACCCTTTATTTTATTCAAGCTTTTACTTAAAATCCTAATGTATGGGCGGGGGAGTTGATGTTTGCATATAGAGGAGTCGTTAATGGCCCATGTGTGTGTGTGTGAATCTCATTCTCAGTCTCACTGATTAACTGATCAGTCGTTAAGGGTCGTTTAAACACAATGAAAAGGTGCACCCTCCAGTTTCTGAATAATCAGGCTCGTTTCCTGACCCTCTGTGAGCTCTTTATGATCCTCCACCTCTGATTGGCTGTTTGACACTGACTGGGAGCGTCTGTAGAGTTTAAATGTGTGTTTGCTCACTCAGTGTGTTTAACACTTCGATGTCATCGCAGGCGCAGACAGGCCAAGCTTCAGAAGGAGCTGGCGGACGCAGCGAAGGAACCTCTTCCCATAGACCAGTAAGTGTGTTTGATGAGAACGTTTGCTAACCTGCAACTATCAGGGATTAATAATAAACCGTGATATCAAGTCATGGACATTTCTGTAGTGAGAGCAATCTTTGTGAACACACTTTGAATGATACATTCATATCCAGTACAGTGTTATTGTAGTATTATTTATATGCTATCATAGTGTTTATTAATTTGAGTTAGCTTTTATTTTTATATTTCCCGTTTTCATTTAAGTTTAAGGTCTAGTCATTTTGCTTGTCATTGTCTTTTTTTGTAATTAGTTCTGTAATTTTATAACTTACATTTATTTTAGTTTGTTGCCAATGAAGCCAGTTTAAGTTTTTATTACTTTGTCCATTAAATGACAATATTTTCCCCCTCTTTTTTACATTTTTATGAGGGTATATTGTTTTTAACCATGTAAAATGCAGCGTTATTAATTATCCTGTTATCACATTATTTCAAATAAAATGTTGTTGGGAATCCTATTAAATCATTGAAATCTAATTGGATGCTGTTGTCTGATTGGTCTAGAGATGATGACATCGAAGTTCTCTCAGAGGATGCTGGGAAGGCAACGGGTGAAACGTCACCAAGCAGACAGCTCAGTCGCACACCCAGGTATACACACACACACACACACCCACTAGCTCACTCTCACACATACACACGCACACACACAATCACAAATTACACAACTCATGCTGTCCACAAAATATACTAGCTAAAACTTTGTGTATGTGTTTTTCTCCAGTAAACACACACGCGCACTCACTCACTCGTACACACGCACGCACACACTTACGCACACACTCACTCGCACAGACTCACACACTCACTCACTCACACACTTACTAACTCACTCACTCACACACACACACACACTCACAAACTCACTCTCACACACTCACTTACTCACACACTCACTCTCACACTCACTCACTCACTCACTCACACTCGCTTGCACACACACTCACTCTTACACACACACACACACACTTGCTTGCACGGACACAAAAACACTTGCTTACTCGATCGCACACACACGCATAAACACAAATTGCACGACTCATGTTGTCCACAAAATATACTAGCTAAAACTTTGTGTATGTGTTTTTCTCCAGTAAACACACACGCGCACTCACTCACTCGTACACACGCACGCACACACTCACTCGCACAGACTCACACACTCACTCACTCACACACTTACTAACTCACTTACTCACTCACACTTACTCACTCACTCACTCACTCACACTCACTCACACACACTCACTCACTCACTCACACTCACTCACACACACTCACTCACTCACACACTCACACTCGCTTGCACACACATTCACTCTTACACACACACACACACACACTTGCTTGCACGGACACAAAAACACTTGCTTACTCGATCGCACACACACGCATAAACACAAATTGCACGACTCATGTTGTCCACAAAATATACTAGCTAAAACTTTGTGTATGTGTTTTTCTCCAGTAAACACACACGCGCACTCACTCACTCGTACACACGCACGCACACACTCACTCGCACAGACTCACACACTCACTCACTCACACACTTACTAACTCACTCACTCTCTCACACACACACACACACACACACACACACACACACACACACACTCACAAACTCAATCTCACTCACTCACTCACTCACACACTTACTAACTCACTCACTCTCACACACACACACACACTCACAAACTCAATCTCACACACTCACTCACTCACACACTCACTCACTCACACACTCACTCACACACTCACTCACACACTCACTCACTCACACACTCACTCACACACTCACTCACTCACTCACTCACTCACTCACTCACTCACTCACTCACTCACTCACACACTCACACACTCACTCTCACACACACACTCACAAACTCAATCTCACTCACTCACTCACACACTCACTCACACACTCACTCACACACTCACTCACTCACTCACTCACTCACTCACTCACTCACTCACTCACTCACTCACTCACTCACTCACTCACTCACACACTCACACACTCACACACTCACTCTTACACACACACACACACACACACACACACACTTGCTTGCACGGACACAAAAACACTTGCTTACTCGATCGCACACACACGCATAAACACAAATTGCACGACTCATGTTGTCCACAAAATATACTAGCTAAAACTCTGTGTGTGTCTGTGTGTTTGTGTGTGTGTGTTTTTCTCCAGTAAACGAGTGTCCCAGCAGCCTCAGCCTCCTCCTGGCGGACTGCTGGATTCCATCACTAATATCTTCGGGTATGTCTTTAGTCTTTGTGTTTTAATATTTCTTTCTTTCTTCTCTTCTTCATTCTTTACTCATGGTGAATCTAACGAGAACATCTCCAGGTCATATTCAAGCCCAAAATCTAAAGCAAGAAATAAAACCACATGATGCGAAACGGCATGATGGTCCTAAAATATTTCCTGGACATGTGTTTGTAAGAATAAGAGTGTGTGTGTGTGTGTGTGTGTCTCATTTAGAGATGAAACAGTATGAACATTTTATGTTAAGAGAGTGTTATATCACAATGAAAATGATCCTGTTTATCAATATTATCATTGTATTGTTAAAATGTGCTGGAAATGTTGAAAAAGTACTGATACACACACACTGAAATCATTTCACCAAGTTTTACATCGAAACCCAACAAACAACAGATAAAAATTAGCAGCACTGAACACTTTTTTTTTTGTTTGCCTAAGTTTAAAAATGATTAAAGACAAGTGAGCATTTAGTAATAAAATAAAAACAAATAAACAAACTACAAGCAGTAGCACAAAGAAACACAATAGAACAAAAATAATAAAATACAGAGCAATTCTTGTTAAAGCAACAGAAGTTATTCAGGCAAGAGCAGGGAGTGATTTCTCTGTGTTTAGTTGTGTAATGAACATTAAGGACTAGATTATTACGCTGCTGTCGCTTTAAGAGCTGCGCTGCGTCAGACGGCTGTTAATCCTGGATCGTATTTACCGTACGCTTTTCAAATCACGATAATTAAAATATGAATACTAACTCTAGGGAGTTTTATCATGGTTTGTCATCAAACCGGCAACTGTTTCATCCCTATTCGAGTGTGTGAGTGTGTGAGTGTGTGAGTGTGTGAGTGTGTGAGTGTGTGAGTGTGTGAGTGTGTGAGTGTGTGAGTGTGTGTGTGTGTCTCATTCTACACTCTCTCTGTGTCTGCAGCTTGTCTGATTCTGTCCAACCTGGTTTCGTCCCGTCTGACTCCAGGTGATGCACAGTGTGGTGTGTGTCTGTGTGTGTGTGTGAGAGTGATTCTCTCGTAAACCCAGAAGCATGCTAAAGGAAATATATTCCTGTGAACGGGATTGTGGGTAACTGCTGTGGTGTCTTCTACGCGTGTACTCTCTTCTTTTTGGATATATTAGTGACCTTTGCAGGTCTCTTGTTTGCTGTGTGTGTAGTTGTGTGTGTAGTTGAGTGTGTGAGTTTTGGCTGGGTGGGTGATTTTCAGGTTAAAACCACGAGCTTGTAGAAACGTTTCATTATAGATGTTGAGAGAATTGATTGGATTCATTGAGTAAATGACCTCAGGAATAATCAGATAATGTCGGGTTTAATTGTGCATTTTTCCAGTAATGGTTTGAAAGCTCAAATGAAAAAAACAAATCACCTCATACAACTATTCACACACACACACACACACACACACATATATACGTGTGTGTGTGTGAATAATTGTAAATAAAATCGCACTTTACATCAGTTGTATGAAATACCAAATAAAACATTACCATTTTTTGCTCTATTGAGCTTTCGCAATGAAAGCTCAATAGAGCAAAAAATGGTAATGTTTTATTTGGTATTTCATACAACTGATGCAAAGTGCGATTTTATTTACATACGACTAATGGAAGAATGCACAATTAAACATGATATTGTGATTTAATAAATAAAAGACTAAAGACAAAAATGATATATTATGTAAATTGCAATTTAATGTTGTAATTGTTTTAGGCTTTAGTCTTTTCATTGATAAAATCACATACAATTACAGACAAACATATTTGTGTGTATTTTATATATGATTATCGTAAAAAAATATGTAGTTGAAATGTTTTTTTAAATTGCATTTTGCACGAGTTCTCAAATAAAAGTTATCTTTTTTTAAACATTATTTAAAATGTGTATATATATCACTATTGATAATTCATATTTTAAATATAGATAGATAACAGATAAGTATATTTTTGTGCATATTTAATTGTTTTAAACTTCTTTTTTTTTTTGTCACCCACCCAAATTTGGCTGCACACAGGTTTGAGTTGGCTTTCAAGTGTCGTCTTTGCATCAGAGTTTTGTTTGTGAGTCAAAGAGACGATGTTTTACATCAGACCTCGAAAAAATCATTTAGTCACGCGATTATAGACGCTTCAGTCCCTGAACGAGCCTCTTTATGATGGAGGTTTGGTTCCTCGCCTTTTTTCACCCTTGTTGTTGCTTAGTTGGGGATATTAAATTTAACATTTAATTTAATATTCAACAGTAATATTGATCTGCCTGCATTGACACCATTATATGAGAACTGAACTGAGCTGGACGATGACATCACGGTTTTCTCCAGAGCATATATATATAAATGAACTGAATTAATAACTTTTTTACAAAAACTGTGATGCTATATAATAAAAAACTTTGCTGCATTATGTTCCTGTTATCTCTGTAAAGCTGCTTTGAAACACTCTGTATTGTAAAAAGCGCTGTATAAATAAATGTGACTTGACTTGGCATGTTTTGTAAGAAGGTTAGGAGTTGAGTCCAGCCCTGTGTGACACACACACACACGCTTTCTTCCCCATAGAAGACGTCGCTCGGTGAACTCGTTCAGCTCGTCTCCTGAGGCTGCAGAAGCGCAGTCGGCGTGCGCTGACGTCCGGGTCCCCTCCACTGCGCTACACATCTTCGTAAGTCACACGGTCATGCATGCAACTCATTCTGCTGAGGTTAGTGTGGAAGTGTTTTCCTAACAAAATGAAAATGAAATTGCTAAAAAATAGCAAATAATTATGGAAGCTTGTTTCCGCCACTGAATAAAAAAACAACAAATAATTGCAACTTTTTATCTCACAATTACGAGATATGAAGTCAGAATTGTGAGAAATAAAGTCGCAATTGCGAGAAAAAAAGACAGAATTTTTACAAAGTTTACATCTCGCAATTCTGACTTTATATCTCGCAATTCTGACTTTATAACCTGCAATTGCAACTTTATATCAATAAATTCTGACTTTTTATCTCACAATTCTGACTTTTTTCTCACAATTGCGAGTTTACATCTCCCAATTCTGACTTTATAACACATAATTGCGATTTTATATCTCGAAATTCTGACATCTTTTCTCAGAACTGTGAGATATAAACTCGCAATTGCGACTTATCAGGCCAATTCTAAGGAAAAAAAGACTAAGTTTTTTCCCCTCAGAATAGTTTATATCTCGCAATTCTGACTTTATATCACGCAATTCTGACTTTATATCTCACAATTCTGACTTTATATCTCGCAATTCTGACTTTATATATCGCAATTCTGACTTTATATCTCGCAATTCTGACTTTATATCTCGCAATTCTGACTTTATATCTCGCAATTCTGACTTTATATCTCGCAATTGCGACTTTATATCACGCAATTCTGACTTTATATCACGCAATTCTGACTTTATATCTCGCAATTCTGACTTTATATCTCGCAATTCTGACTTTATAACACGCAATTGCAACTTTATATCAATAAATTCTGACTTTTTATCTCACAATTCTGACTTTATATCTCGCAATTCTGACTTTATATCACGAAATTCTGACTTTTTATCTCACAATTCTGACTTTTTTCTCACAATTGCGAGTTTACATCTCCCAATTCTGACTTTATAACACATAATTGCGATTTTATATCTCGAAATTCTGACATCTTTTCTCAGAACTGTGAGATATAAACTCGTAATTGCGACTTATCAGGCCAATTCTAAGGAAAAAAAGACTTTTCTTTTTTTCTGAGGAGAAAAAAGTTTTTTCCCCTCAGAATAGTTTATATCTCGCAATTCTGACTTTATATCACGCAATTCTGACTTTATATCTCGCAATTCTGACTTTATATCTCGCAATTCTGACTTTATATCTCGCAATTCTGACTTTATATCACGCAATTCTGACTTTATATCACGCAATTCTGACTTTATATCACGCAATTCTGACTTTATAACTCGCAATTCTGACTTTATATCACGCAATTCTGACTTTATATCTCGCAATTCTGACTTTATATCTCGCAATTCTGACTTTATATCACGCAATTCTGACTTTATATCTCGCAATTCTGACTTTATATCACGCAATTCTGACTTTATATCACGCAATTCTGACTTTATATCTCGCAATTTTGACTTTATATCTCGCAATTCTGACTTTATATCTCGCAATTCTGACTTTATATCTCGCAATTTTGACTTTATATCTCGCAATTCTGACTTTATATCTCGCAATTCTGACTTTATATCTCGCAATTCTGACTTTATATCTCACAATTCTGACTTTATATCTCGCAATTGCGACTTTATATCACGCAATTCGGACTTTATAACACGCAATTGCGATTTTATATCACGCAATTCTGACTTTATAACACGCAATTCTGAGAAATAAAGTCAGAATTGCGAGATGAAAACTCGCAGTTGTGAGAAAAAAAGTCAGAATTGTGAGATGAAAAAGTCGCAATTACCTTTTTTATTTTTCATTCTGTGGCGGAAACAAGCTTCCATAAATAATAAATCAAAGTTAGGAAAAAACTTTCAATAGGTCAGGGTTGGGAACCGAATACTTGAGGTCAGGAATCGGATACTTGTTTTAAAATTAAAATTTCGATTCCTCTGTGTGTTTCAATATGACTTTTCAAGCGCGAGACGACTCTGTTTTCTGTGCTGCACACACACACATCCATAGAAGCGCACGCACAGAAAATGTGATTTTATTGTGATTTTAAAACATTATATCGCGAGACGACTCGCATGTGTAACTATACTTCAACTCTTAGAGTACCAGGAACTGCCGTCTCTATATTAACACATCAAACCACAACACTCGTTCTCGACTCAATCATTTTTGTAACTATATTTGTAATGTATATTTTATTTATAAAGTGCAGTGTTATTTCTCATTTGATTACGGTTTCTGTACCTGAAAATCTTAAAACACGGTTCATTTCAATCGGATCTTTGTTCAGTTGTATCTATTTGTTGCGATCTGCAATTTTTTGTTTTTTAATAACCGAGTCTTTAATAATGCTTGAAATTTATATTAGTTAGGCTAGTTGTTTTTCTATGGTATTTTTAAACCACAGGCAAAGTGTTCTTTAGCCACAATTAAATGTTTTGCAATAAGACTAAATGTGAATGATATCTATCTAATTTTCCCCAAATTGGAATCGAAATTAGGAATCGATAAGCAGAATCTAAATGGGAATCAGAATTGTTAACTCAAACGATACCCAACCCTAGTTGAGGTTCAAAGGTCAATGATGTGATTTGTAAAAGGTCTGATATCCAGGTCTCCTTCCAGTCCTGTCCTCCCAGCAGCCCCTCTTAATTTTCCCAGCATGCTCTAGCTGTGCATCGCTGGTTTGAGGTGGCGGCTGATATATATTATGGACGTTCTTGCTGAATTACGAGTCTTTTAGAGAACCAAGTGAGACGTCGACGGCAGCGTCCAACAGAAACACAACATTCAGGAGGGAAGGATTGGGAAGAGGACGTTAAACTGGTGCATGATCCCAAGTTTTCAAGCTGAGACCTTTCAAAACAAACAAGAAAACCCATCGGCCATTTGCTTTTCTGCTTTGAAATATTCCGAAAAATCTTTTTTATTTGAGTTTCTAGTTTCTAAAAGTAGAAGTCTTGATTGATTTTCTACAACGTGTCGTATGTCATAATCATTTAACATATTCATAACATTCATTACTTCAATGAGCTCATTGATTCTGCCTTCAATTATTACATTGTCAAATTAATACATTTTTAGCTAACTGATTTTGTATATACAGTCAAACCAAAAATTATTCAAACACCAGATATAATTTTTGATATTTTTTCACTAGTGTGTGCAGGACACTATAGATCATTTATGTAAGTGAGGAGAGCAAAATAAAGTAAACTGTGACATATTATACCCAATAATTCTTCATACAGTGACTACCAGTAATATCTATAAACATTTGGGACCAAAAATGATTCCGACATCATGTTTTCTTCAGTGTGTTTTCTGTAATTGCTAATGCTCTTTTTACACACAGACTGAACAACATGAAGCATTGCTTGGTGATTGGTTGAGCTAAACTGGTATTATCTAATTGTGTAGTTAAATTTAACAGCTGACAGATATTCAACATAATTCATCTGTGAGAGTCTAACAGAAGGACGGACAAAACCAGTCAAATATCCACTGATCTAATAACTCTGAGTTCTGCTCATATTTTACTACCATTTTCTAAACTATAGCGAATAAACTGTGATAATGTGAGAAATGTGGAAGGAACTGAAATGCATAACAGACTCTAAATTGTAATGTGGACTCATGCATTTCCGATGTGTATTGTGAAAAGCGCAATACAAATACATATGAATTGAATTAAAAGTGAATGTGTGTGTGTGTGTAGGACGCCCATGATGGGGAAGTGAACGCGGTGAGGTTCAGTCCCGGTTCCCGTCTGCTCGCCACGGGAGGAATGGATCGCAGGGTGAAACTCTGGGAGGTCGTATCCGGTACTGAACACATGTGTTATCATTCACAGTTTTACTAGAGTTCAAAGGTCGGTGATGAGATGTAAAAGGTCCGAAGCCTTGCCTCCTTTCAGTCCCTTTATCCCTCCCATTCGCCACTCTTAATATCCTTCCCAGCATGCTCTAGTCGTGCATCGCTTGGCAAAGGTGGCGGCTGATATTATGGATGTTTCTGCTGCATTTATAGTCTTAGAGTCGAGAATAATAAGACGTCGACAGCAGCGTCCGACAGAAACTCGACACGCAAGGAGGGCCGGACTCGAGGAGAGCGTTTGACGGGCTTATGATCTCAAGTTTTCAAGCTGAGACCTTCAGTCGTTTCAAAGAGGAAACTGGGCGAATTGTGCATTACACCAGTTCAGTTTCGCAAGGTTTAATGAAGCAACTGCAGAATTTCTGCTTCCTCCTGAAACAAAGATGCATGTATATGTTCAGTTTTGTCTGTTTGTGGGGTTTTAAAAGCTTTTGTGTGTTTGTTTCAACAGGGCGATGTGAACCCAAAGGTGCGCTGACGGGCAGTAATGCTGGAATCACCAGTATAGAGTTTGATAGTGCGGTGAGTTAAGGAGGAGTTCACTTCAGAATTAAAAATTCCTGATCATTTAATCTCATCTAAGATGTTCATGTGTTTCTTCAGTGGAAAAGAAATGAAGGTTTTTGAGGGAAACACTCCAGATGTTTCTCCATATAGTGACTTCAATGGGGTCCAACGGGTCCAGATGTGAGTTTCAGTGCAGCTTTAAAGTCTCGACACGATCCAGCCGAGGAATAAGAGTCTCATCTTGACAAATCAGCGGCCGTTTTATAACAAAATAAACATTTATATACTTTTTAACCACAAATGCTCATCTTGCACGTCCACGCATTATGTAATCACGTTGGAAAGGTTAGCCGGTAACCTGACGTAGGCGGGAAATGAAGGGTGACATCGTTGTTTTACATTTTATTTATTCATTTTTTTGTAAAGGGCGTTTGACTCAGTCTTTGCACGTTCGCTTTGTAAACACTGGGTCGGTTCTTACGCCTACGTCACGCTTGACCTTCCAACGTGATTACGCAATGTGTGGCGCATCACAGCTCGTGCAAGACGAGCATTTGTGGTTAAAAAGTATTTATATTTATATATTTGTCTAGATGAGACTCTTATTCCTCGGCTGGATCGTGTCGAGACTTTGAAGCTGCACTGAAACTCACATTTGGACCTTCAAACCGTTGGACCCCATTGAAGTCACTATATGGAGAAAAATGTTTTGCAATAAGACTAAATGTGAATGATATCTACGTTTTTTTTTATTTTTTTTTATTGGAATCGAAATTAAGAATCGATAAGCAGAATCTAAATGGGAATCAGAATCGTTAAAACTCAAACGATACCCAACCCTAGTTGAGGTTCAAAGGTCAATGATGTGATTTGTAAAAGGTCTGATATCCAGGTCTCCTTCCAGTCCTGTCCTCCCAGCTGCCCCTCTTAATTTTCCCAGCATGCTCTAGCTTTGCATCGCTGGTTTGAGGTGGCGGCTGATATATATTATGGACGTTCTTGCTGAATTACGAGTCTTTTAGAGAACCAAGTGAGACGTCGACGGCAGCGTCCAACAGAAACACAACATTCAGGAGGGAAGGATTGGGAAGAGGACGTTAAACTGGTGCATGATCTCAAGTTTTCAAGCTGAGACCTTTCAAAACAAACAAGAAAACCACCGCCCATTTTATAACAAAATAAACATTTATATACTTTTTAACCACAAATGCTCGTCTTCCAACGTGATTACGTAATGTGTGGCGGATCACAGCTAGTGCAAGTCGAGCATATCTGACTAAATCCCAGCGAACGCTGAAAGGCTGAAGTGTGTTTTACTGTAGTGACTGATTGCTTTGTGCTTGTCCTTCGCAGGGAACGTATTTACTGGCCGCTTCTAACGACTTCGCCAGCAGAATCTGGACTGTTGACGACTTCAGACTGCGGGTGAGGAACACACACACACACACACACACTTCAGGTTTGGTGGCATGTTAAGCACATACACTCAAGGACTCTAGCAAACACGCTTTTAGCTGTAAATGTTTATATTTTACTGGGGTTTCAGTCACATTGACAATAAAACCTCTTAGATTCTCTGATTGTTCTTGTTCATTTTGTTCATGCATTTAATTATTGATGGTATTAGTCTTTTTTTTTTTTATGCATACAAAATTCTCAAACATTTTATATAGTGGCCAAAAGTGATATCCAGAGCGGAGATGTTTTTAATGACCCTACAAGTTCAAATAAACCATCAAAATATGAGGAAACTATTTTATGTTTTAAATATGGGGGAAGAAAAAACACTAAACTTGTTTAAGGTATTTATCTGACAAAATTATTTGGGAAAACTACAGGTTTTATAACCATTAGTTATTGATATTTAGTTGGTTCTCTCTTTTGTTCATAATTTGTTTGTATGGCAGCCTGGCTAAAAATAATTTGTCATGTTTTATTGCGTTATAACAAATAAAACCAATGCAATATGCTTACAAATTTAATCATATTGGAATAAAGGTGTCAATATTTCTAGCCCAGACATCATTATAGCTTTCTTTTTTCTAAATAAATACATGGCTATTGTCCTGAGATTTACTGCAAACTGCTAGTAAACATCAATGTTTAAAGTTCACTAAGCTTTATTTGATGGATCAAAGGTCAATGATGTGATGTAAAAGGTCTGAAGTCCAGATCTCCTTCCAGTCCCTTCATCCCTCTCAGCCAGCCCTAGTCATTTTCCCAGCATGCTCGAGTTGTGCATCACTGGTTTGATGTGGTGGCTGATATTATGGGTGTTTCTGCTGAATGAGAGTCTCGTTAGAGAATCCCGTGAGACTCTGACAGCAACATCCCACAGCCACACGACACACACATGAGGGCAGGACTGAAGGAGGCTGGTCAGCTGATCTCACAAATCACACTGAGACCTCAATTCAGTCTCAGTTACTGCTAGAAACAATTGTTTGCATGCCTGTTTGATTGATTGTTATTGTCTTGTCCCAAAGCACACACTCACAGGTCACAGCGGGAAGGTTTTATCTGCTCGGTTTCTCCTCGACAACGCTCGAATCGTCTCCGGCAGTTACGATCGAACGCTCAAGCTCTGGGATTTACGCAGCAAAGTCTGTAAGAGACTCTTAGTTCTTATACTCTTTCTTAATCGCCACTATGCATGAATATTATGCAAAATGGGGCTTGAAAATTTACATTTTTGGTTAACCTTTAGACTAGAGAATGTTGTTTGTCCACTTCTGGGTGACAAACTAAGTAATAATGTAATAATTAATATTCATTCAATTGATAAAATAAAACAAATGTATATTTTAATACTAGTTCATTAGTCTAAACTAAAATGTGAAAAGTGGGTAGTTGTAAAAATGTACATTTTATGGTAGTTGATGGTTTATTGAACGCATCTAAATAAATATTTTCTCTGAAGAACATGGGAATTGTATGGAAGCTTGTTTCCACCAGGGAATGAAAAAATTAAAAAGGTTGAGACGTTTTATCTCAGAATTCAACTTTTTTTTTTTTTTTTTTATAATTGTGGGTCCATATCTCATGATACTGAGAAATAAAGTAGCAATACTCAAATATAGCAATAATCAGAAATAAAGTTGCAATTCTGAGAAAGTCACAATTTTGAGAAATATTCGCTATGCTAAGAATTAAAGTTGCGATTCTGAGAAATAAAGAAATAAATTTCAAATAGGCAGAAATAAATTTGCGATTCTGAGAAATAGTTGCAATACTCAGGAAAAAAGTTGCGATTCTAAG